AAAACAGACACGCTGCGGGGGTTGGCTGGAGATAATGGGCCTGTCAGCACCCATCAGAAAATGGTTTCCTGACCCAGAAGTGACCCGCAGATGTTAGCCTTGGAATTACCGAGGAAAATGGACGGAAGAATGTCAGCTCCTAATAACACATCGACTTGGGAGCTCTTAAAGAAGTTGGGGTCCGCCAGGGGAATGTCGGGCAGCCCCTTGAGACGATCTCGTGAAATCGGATATGATGGCAGATTTCCTGCCAACTGCGGAAGAACGTAAGCCGCTTCTCTAATTGTAGCCCGGGTCTAGACGGCGACCGAATGGAGAAATGCCACAATTTAGTAGACTGCGCGGAAATGGTCTGATTAAGGACGGAAACTTGTGCGTGAATCGTCTTGAAGGGAAACTTGACAAGGTTGAACAGTCGTTCCGTTATGAAAGTCGCTTCGGACCCTGAGTCTATCAGAGCTCGTGCCTGGACGGTGCACCCCAAATGGCACACGTTGATAAGGGCCGTGCCCAGTAGGACTGCTCCTGACCCAGAAGCGAAACACACCTGCACATTCGACTGATCCTCTGAGCCGTTTGCTGGCGTAGGCGGACTTGGGGCGCTGGCGAACGGATTGCCGCGGTGCAGTAGGGTGTGGTGTCGGCTGTGGCATGTGAAGCAGGTATGGGCGCTCGTGCAGTCTCGCTGCTAGTGCCCTCGGGCAAAACAGTTTAAACATAACTGTTTCCTCCTTATGTAGTCAGAGCGCCCATTTCCAGGAACCGCGGACATAAGCGAATGGGGTGGTTCTCCCTCGAACTGAGATCGCAACCCTTGGGGCCCGGAACCACTCGAGTCTCGTATGAATTGAGCCTTCGAGCAGGGGCAGTAGGAGTTCCCGACCTTGGCGGAGGTTGCCCGGAGCCACTAGGCCTGACGTCGTCGATTGCTTCCAGAGTGCGATGGCGCTCTGTCAGGAAGTTGTCTAATTACTTTCATGTTGGAATTGCGGCCTTATTATGGACGGATTGCTCCCACATGGGAAGTGTGACTTTGAGGAGCTTTGACGAAATCATAAACACCAGGAGGCAGTCCCAAGCCTCAACATTGATGGCGGACATTGCTAGGGCTGTCAGACAACTCTGAATAGTGGCTTGCAGCTCCTTCAGCGCGACCGCGGACTCTTGTGAAATAGCCTGGAGGTTGAAAAGGATTTTCAACTGGCTATTGACCAATAGCCGCCGGTTCTCAAAGCGGTCTGTGAGGCTTTGCCAAGCGACGACAAACCCCTCATGGGTAAGCGGAGCCTTAGAGACAATGGCGTGGGCGTCACCACTTGTTTTGGACAGTAAGTGGAACAACCTCTCTACCGGAGTGAGCCGCGAGTTTTGGATGTAAATGGCCGTAAACAAGTCTCTGAAACTGTGCCACCGAAGATAATCACCCGCGAAGACCTCGGTATCCACCGGAGGTAACCGGCAGACTGTAGGCGCGGGCGTGTGGACATTGACGGAAGCCTGAGTGTCGTCGGACACGGCAAGCAAATCGGATCAGCTCTCATAGCTCTTCTCCACCTTCTCCCATAGTGCCCGAATTTGGTCCTGTTACGACTCCAATCCCCAATCTAAACAAAAGTTCCAAATACGATATTTCAGCTCCTTTATTAGTCCCGGCACAGCGGGCGTTACTCGTCAACTAACTCCGATCGAATGGTGAACAGTAATACTTTTCTTCTTCTTACGTTCTTCACTTCTTTTGAGAGAGCGCGTCAATCCCATCTCTGCCGTCGCTCTTCGCTGCCGATACGGATCTCCACACCCCTTCTTTTTCTCCAGACGGAGCTTCAGGTTCTCGTTCGGGTCAGGGAGGTCCTTTGATGTCGGAGTTTCCTGTGGCGTCAGAGTTTCGGCAACCGGCTGTAAAGGAATAGCTGAGGGAGATATCTCAACATCGGGGCTCACCGAGTTAGACGATTTCGATGAGTCTGCGCCGATGATCTTATTCAAGTGGCTTACATTCCTAGTATACGACTTACCACCACCAGAAATTTGAACAACATTTCCCTCTCGGTTAGTTACTTCATATGTGGTCGTACCGAATGTTGGCGTCAGCTTATGCGGGAATATTACGTTTTTTAGGAGGACCTTGTCACCTACTTTTATATCGATCACTCCCGCTTTCCTAGCGTTGTCGGCTAACTCTTTCCCTTTCTCTTTCTTCCAGACGTCCCTGTCTCTCTCTTCTGAATCAACCGTTTCGCCCACGAGGTCCTGTATGCCAGGAATTTTGTCCCTTATCACTCTGTTAAACATTAGCTCTGTTGGTGGTGCGCCCGTGGTCCCGTGTGGAGTGACGTTATACATAAATACAAATTTTTGAATTTCTTTTTTGTAATTGTCGTTATTGGCATGAGCTATCTTTAGGCGTTTCTCCAGAGATCTGTTCATGTTTTCTACTTCGCCGTTGGCCTGGGGCCAGTATGGGGGAGTTGGCATTAGCGTAATGCCGCTGCTTTCACAAAAATTTTTAAATTCGACTCTGACAAATTGCCTCCCATTATCAGTTGTTAATGATTCCGGGAATCCCAATCTGGAAAAGATCTCTTCCATTTCCTCAATAATGGTTTTCGATGATATCGACTTGATGAGTTTGAATTCCATATACCGCGAGTAATAGTCTATTAATACGAGTACATTCTCACCATTTGGTAAAGGGCCCAAAAGATCGGTCGCTACGCATCTGCAGGGTCCGACGGCCGACGAGAGAGCGAGACACTCCGTGTATTGTCTCCCGCGCTCCGTGCCCGGTGCTCCTTGGTCACGGGGTGCAGCAGCGTGTGGTGATCCTGACCACACGTCTTACAGCCGTCCCCACGCCGACAGGATCCGTCGGAGTGCTCATGGGCCAGGCAGCTCGAGCAATAGCGGTTCACAAGAACCGCTCGGAGCCGCTTCTCGGCGCGTAGGAAGCGCCGACACATCTTCAATGGATGGATCCCATTGCAGACTCGGCATCGGTAGGATTGTATACCTCGAATACATCTGCTCTCCAGTGTCTGGGCGTTGCGTGGGCGTGGCGCCATCGTGCTGAATATGACCTTGGAATCCAGAAGTTGGCTCGGATCAGACGGATCATCAGCTGATTGCCACCGTGCAGCGTGATGCGATGCGTAAATTAAAAATGGAGTCGAGACAGAATTGTACTCATAACCTGAATCCGATTCGAAACTGATCCCGTGTGGGCACCTCTCCCTGATCCAGTGAGTCACCGAGGCTGCGGGCAACTCGTGCGGAAAAAACAGACACGCTGCGGGGGTTGGCTGGAGATAATGGGCCTGTCAGCACCCATCAGAAAATGGTTTCCTGACCCAGAAGTGACCCGCAGATGTTAGCCTTGGAATTACCGAGGAAAATGGACGGAAGAATGTCAGCTCCTAATAACACATCGACTTGGGAGCTCTTAAAGAAGTTGGGGTCCGCCAGGGGAATGTCGGGCAGCCCCTTGAGACGATCTCGTGAAATCGGATATGATGGCAGATTTCCTGCCAACTGCGAAAGAACGTAAGCCGCTTCTCTAATTGTAGCCCGGGTCTAGACGGCGACCGAATGGAGAAATGCCACAATTTAGTAGACTGCGCGGAAATGGTCTGATTAAGGACGGAAACTTGTGCGTGAATCGTCTTGAAGGGAAACTTGACAAGGTTGAACAGTCGTTCCGTTATGAAAGTCGCTTCGGACCCTGAGTCTATCAGAGCTCGTGCCTGGACGGTGCACCCCAAATGGCACACGTTGATAAGGGCCGTGCCCAGTAGGACTGCTCCTGACCCAGAAGCGAAACACACCTGCACATTCGACTGATCCTCTGAGCCGTTTGCTGGCGTAGGCGGACTTGGGGCGCTGGCGAACGGATTGCCGCGGTGCAGTAGGGTGTGGTGTCGGCTGTGGCATGTGAAGCAGGTATGGGCGCTCGTGCAGTCTCGCTGCTAGTGCCCTCGGGCAAAACAGTTTAAACATAACTGTTTCCTCCTTATGTAGTCAGAGCGCCCATTTCCAGGAACCGCGGACATAAGCGAATGGGGTGGTTCTCCCTCGAACTGAGATCGCAACCCTTGGGGCCCGGAACCACTCGAGTCTCGTATGAATTGAGCCTTCGAGCAGGGGCAGTAGGAGTTCCCGACCTTGGCGGAGGTTGCCCGGAGCCACTAGGCCTGACGTCGTCGATTGCTTCCAGAGTGCGATGGCGCTCTGTCAGGAAGTTGTCTAATTACTTTCATGTTGGAATTGCGGCCTTATTATGGACGGATTGCTCCCACATGGGAAGTGTGACTTTGAGGAGCTTTGACGAAATCATAAACACCAGGAGGCAGTCCCAAGCCTCAACATTGATGGCGGACATTGCTAGGGCTGTCAGACAACTCTGAATAGTGGCTTGCAGCTCCTTCAGCGCGACCGCGGACTCTTGTGAAATAGCCTGGAGGTTGAAAAGGATTTTCAACTGGCTATTGACCAATAGCCGCCGGTTCTCAAAGCGGTCTGTGAGGCTTTGCCAAGCGACGACAAACCCCTCATGGGTAAGCGGAGCCTTAGAGACAATGGCGTGGGCGTCACCACTTGTTTTGGACAGTAAGTGGAACAACCTCTCTACCGGAGTGAGCCGCGAGTTTTGGATGTAAATGGCCGTAAACAAGTCTCTGAAACTGTGCCACCGAAGATAATCACCCGCGAAGACCTCGGTATCCACCGGAGGTAACCGGCAGACTGTAGGCGCGGGCGTGTGGACATTGACGGAAGCCTGAGTGTCGTCGGACACGGCAAGCAAATCGGATCAGCTCTCATAGCTCTTCTCCACCTTCTCCCATAGTGCCCGAATTTGGTCCTGTTACGACTCCAATCCCCAATCTAAACAAAAGTTCCAAATACGATATTTCAGCTCCTTTATTAGTCCCGGCACAGCGGGCGTTACTCGTCAACTAACTCCGATCGAATGGTGAACAGTAATACTTTTCTTCTTCTTACGTTCTTCACTTCTTTTGAGAGAGCGCGTCAATCCCATCTCTGCCGTCGCTCTTCGCTGCCGATACGGATCTCCACACCCCTTCTTTTTTCTCCAGACGGAGCTTCAGGTTCTCGTTCGGGTCAGGGAGGTCCTTTGATGTCGGAGTTTCCTGTGGCGTCAGAGTTTCGGCAACCGGCTGTAAAGGAATAGCTGAGGGAGATATCTCAACATCGGGGCTCACCGAGTTAGACGATTTCGATGAGTCTGCGCCGATGATCTTATTCAAGTGGCTTACATTCCTAGTATACGACTTACCACCACCAGAAGTTTGAACAACATTTCCCTCTCGGTTAGTTACTTCATATGTGGTCGTACCGAATGTTGGCGTCAGCTTATGCGGGAATATTACGTTTTTTAGGAGGACCTTGTCACCTACTTTTATATCGATCACTCCCGCTTTCCTAGCGTTGTCGGCTAACTCTTTCCCTTTCTCTTTCTTCCAGACGTCCCTGTCTCTCTCTTCTGAATCAACCGTTTCGCCCACGAGGTCCTGTATGCCAGGAATTTTGTCCCTTATCACTCTGTTAAACATTAGCTCTGTTGGTGGTGCGCCCGTGGTCCCGTGTGGAGTGACGTTATACATAAATACAAATTTTTGAATTTCTTTTTTGTAATTGTCGTTATTGGCATGAGCTATCTTTAGGCGTTTCTCCAGAGATCTGTTCATGTTTTCTACTTCGCCGTTGGCCTGGGGCCAGTATGGGGGAGTTGGCATTAGCGTAATGCCGCTGCTTTCACAAAAATTTTTAAATTCGACTCTGACAAATTGCCTCCCATTATCAGTTGTTAATGATTCCGGGAATCCCAATCTGGAAAAGATCTCTTCCATTTCCTCAATAATGGTTTTCGATGATATCGACTTGATGAGTTTGAATTCCATATACCGCGAGTAATAGTCTATTAATACGAGTACATTCTCACCATTTGGTAAAGGGCCCAAAAGATCGGTCGCTACGCATCTCCAGGGTCCATTCGGAAACGGATGTCTTTTCATGGGGGCCGGATTTGATGGCATTGATACTAACAGGCAATCGCGGCACTCATTAACATACTGTTCTGTGTCCTTGTCCATACACGGCCACCAAACTTTGGAACGAAGTCTCCGTTTCATAGCGCTTATCCCGGGATGCCCTTCATGAGCGAGCTCAAGTACTGGTCCACGTTACTTCCGTGGAATTGCTAGTCTTGTGCCCCGCAATAGACTATTTCCCACAATCGAGAGTTCTAAACGAAATGGATAGTACGAGCTAGACATATTTGAGTTCCATGAATCCTGACCAAGGCATGTCATCACATCTATTATTTCCTCATCCTGGGTGCTCATCTCTGTGACCTTCGATATGGAGAGCGATCTAGGAATTGAGGTTGACACCACGCGAAATATGTGTTCCTCACCAGCCCAGTCATAAGGGTCTGCATCGGTTACTTCGCAAAGTCTTGATAGTGAGTCGGCAATATTCTCCTTTCCTGCCTTATATACCACACGGAATCGGTAAGATTGTAATCGCAGCAACCACCTTTCAATCCTGGCCGGGGGTCGCGAAGTTGGTTTAAAGATTGATTCAAGTGGCGTTTCTCTTTTCAACTCGATGTACGTCTAAACCCAGTTTTAAAACCTTGAGTTTGATTGCTGTGTCACGTCCCAACAGCGATTGTCTACTATTTTCAATGACGTAAAAAGTAGCAATCAGTTCAGGATCGCTTAGCACCGAAATCGGGGCTTCAAAAACTTGTAGCACTTCAAGCAGATGATCAGTAGCATATGCGCGAAACTGGTTGGCTGATTCCGCGCGCGAGTTAAACATTACTGCCCTTTTCTCGCACAATTGCCGCCAATCCGACTGACTTATTAGATTGTACTTCGAGCCCGAATCAATTATCATATTGACTGCATCGCCCCCTATTTTACATGGAATTTCTTATTCTCGTGATGATCCATGTTCCACTCTGAGTAACTTTTAGAGCCACTAGATATGGACTTGATTATAGAATGATCACGTTGTCGTCGCTTTCTATGTGGTCCCTCCCATTTGTCGTATGGCTTCCTTTTCCTTGCACGGCATTTCCGATGAAAATGTCCAATCCTTTCGCATTTCCTGCATTTCGCGTTTCTGGCTGGGCAGTCCGAACTATTTTCTTGGTGCCCTTTTTGGCCACATCTGCCACAATTATAACTCGCGCTGCGCTGAACTATTTTTGTTGATGCTATTTGCATTCGATTGCGGGATCATATATTGCGTTTGTTTATTAACTTGTTCGTCGATATTACATGTTTTTATGACCTCCTCCAAAGTAAATTCATTTTCCAATAGCTTCTTTTTTAGCTCGAACGAAGCCCAGACATCGATGATCCTATCTTTTAGACAGATATCCTCTATCTGTTCTTTGGTCTCTCCAAATGAACATTTAACTATTTGGCGGCGAAGTCTCATAAAAAATTCTGTGAAACATTCTCCCTCTATTGGGGTCATCAATCGAAACTGCGGTGAAAAATACTCGTTCAATTTGGTAATAAGAGGTGTTAAGACATCATTTTGCTCCTCTTCGACAAAAGGAATTAATGCTCCCGGAATGCTGTAGACTACAGCCAGGAGCTGCGGTCCACCCAGGTGGAGAAGCTTGTTTCTTTTCTTACATACGGATGTGATCTCCTCCGTGTCAATATATATATTAAACGCGCGGAACCACGCCTCCCACTCCCTCCATAGCGCTTTATCCATTCCCTGGCACAGGAATGGCTTTAACTCCGTCGTGATTAGTATAACCTGAAAGGTAATTAAAATAAGATGGCCATTAGCAATCTCTTATTATAAGATTATAATTTTGTCCAAAAGTGTGCATCGCAGTGAAGGAGACATCTCCGACCCTATAAAGTATATATATTCTTGATCAGGATCACCTCCTGATTTGATATGAGCATGTCCGTCTGTCCGTCTGTCTGTCCGTCTGTCTGTCTGTCCGTTTCTACGCGAACTAGTCTCTCAGTTTTGAAGCTATCGTCTCGAAACTTTGCACACACCCTTCTTTCCTTTGCACGCAGTATATAAGTCCGGCCCGGATCGGCCGGATCGGGTATAGGAACGGCCCGGATCGGCCGACTATATCCTATAGCTGCCATATAACTGAACGATCGAAAATGACCCAACTTTCGTGTTTTTGAAGATAGAAAGCTGAAACTTAATACAGATTCTATTCTATTCTATTCTAGATTCTATACAATTCTATTTTTGGCCAGTTGATCCAACCTATCAAATTTCATTAGGATCGGTTGACTATATCCTATAGCTGCCATATAACTGAACGATCGGAAATGTTACTTGGTAGAAATATCAACTTTTGTATTTTTGAAGATAGAAGTTTGGGACTTTTTTTAGATTTTGTATTTTAGTTAATTGGTTTTATTATGATGTAATCATAAGGATCGACCAACTATATCCGACGTTTGCGATATATACCCGGTTTTAACTGCAAAGGTATATAAACTTCGGCTCCGCCCAAAGTTAGCTTTCCTTTCTTGTTTTTTTTTTTTGTGTTATTGGTCTCATTCCATTTTGAATAGACTCTTTATGCGAACATCTCAAATTATGTTTCGCTCTTCTTATTTTTTTTTTCTCTCCGCATTCCCTTTGGAACCGGCTTTCTTAATGCAACAGCAAGAATTTATTCCGCTAGCGCTGCTCTTTTTCCTCTGGATCGCATTCCCTTTGGAACCGACTCCTTTAATGCAGCAGCCGGAATTTAATGGGCTAACGCTGCTTTTCGTTCCATTTGGAAAAGATTCTCTTAATGCGAAAATTACATATTGCATTCGCTCTTATTTTGCTCTCGTTCTCTTAGGAACAGACTCTCTTAGTGCAGCCGCCGGAATTTGATCGGCTTGTGCTGTCCAAGTTTTCTTTTCTTACCGTTCCTTTTTTTGCGCCTCCTACATATATATATATGTAACGGCGAGGCACGCGCCATTTTTCGTTACTTCTTTATTTAGTTTTTTTCTTTTTTTGTTCTTTAACTTGGCCGTTGTATTTATACTCCAGTATTTCTCCTCGTCGCCAGTGTAACGACTCCAAATCCCCAATCTAAACAAAAGTTCCAAATACGATATTTCAGCTCCTTTATTAGTCACGGCACAGCGGGCGTTACTCGTCAACTAACTCCGATCGAATGGTGAACAGTAATACTTTTCTTCTTCTTACGTCCTTCACTTCTTTTGAGACAGCGCGTCAATCCCATCTCTGCCGTCGCTCTTCGCTGCTGATACAGATCTCCACAGGTCCCGATGGACCTCGCACATGTATTGGGAGCCTATTTCCGTTTCTGGAGCGCCCGGAGTATTTATGTTAGCCTCAAATTGGCTAATTCGATCTGTTGTGGTGATGAACTTTTTCAACGCCACTTCGACCGCACTTGGAGCCATTTTTGCAACGGAGCGAGTCTGCCTCTGTGAAGGACCGGGGATTGTATTGACGGATTCGTCACTCTTTGCCCTTGGACTAGCACTGGTAGCCTTAGGCTTCAAAAGAGGCGTCCGCGGAGATGCGGATTGAGATCTGTCCAAACGGATAGCTGGGATCGAACGCGGCTTTTTGTCGTCTCCCGTGGGCATTCTCAGAGTCCAATTCGCTGGTCAGCGCTTGTCGACTGACTGGTGCAACAGGTACCTCGTACGAAGTGGTGGCCGGTCGCACTAATGTGATGAGAACGGTGAGATCGCGGATGAAATGCAATTACAAGGAGCACTAGTGCGAACTAGTGGCGCCGATGTCGAAAGGAAAGTCGTATGCAGCCCAATTCGAATGTGGAAAGAAAAAATTCAGGCACCAGAAAAACCAAAGAGGAGACGAGGTTTTCTCAGATTGTAGGCGGATGTTGCCTGATGCGGAGTAGAAGCAGCGTTGAAGATCCGGAAAATGGAAAAATTCGTGCTCGTTCGAAAAACAAATTGATGACGAACCTTATTTGCGGCTCTATTCGGACAGAAGGTTGATAATTAAATTATTAATAATTTTCGTTTATTAATTTTTTTTTTTTAATTTTAATTGTTGAGTGGCCGGAAAGGAGACTTAAAACGAAACTTCGCTCGAACGGAAATATTAATTAAATAAATATATAAATTTATAATTAACTTATTTTTTGGTTGAAGTGAGTTATTACGCAGCCGGTTATGCCGTCGGCACCCTGTACGTACCCCAAAGGAAAAAAAAACAGCAGCAAAAAACACAACACGGCTAGGTCTGAATTTAAGCGACACAATCATGGATTTTGAGTGAAATGGCGTTTTATAATTGGCGGTTTATAAATGTTGGTTTTAGGAAATTAAAAAAATTTTTTTTATAATTTTATCGGTTATATCCTGAAATTGGAGGCAGAAAATATTTGGAAATATGTGGACATGCATGCAAGTAGGGCAAGGGCATATGGGGCATATGATGGCACAGTGGAACGTCGATAAGTGGACTGTATATGTCAGTGGTCGGCACCCCAATACATTGATATGATTTTACCGCATTAGTGTTAGTAACGAATAGCAGAAAGTAGGCTGTGAGCATGACGTTTCACACATGTATACTGTGTGTGTGTGGCAGAGCTCGGGCAGAGAAATTTCCTATGCCCCCGAGATAGGGCCGTGCCGACCTCTGTTATATGTTAAATTTTATCGGTTATATATTTCCTGGAATTGAAGGCAGAAAATATATGAACATGCATGAGGTACGGATATATGTAAGGGCATGTGGGCATATGTTGGCACAGTGGAGTTTTGATAAGTGGACTGTATAATTGGGGGAACAGAAAATTTATGTGGTGTAAAAAATGACACTGATTGAGGAAGATAAAAAACAAATATTACGACAGCGGCGGACTGTTCGGTGAATTTAGAAATTCCGGAACTAATTCACACCGGCTGGCCAATATTAATTATGCCTTCTTTTTGTCACCACACAATTTCACTGTTCACTTGCGAATGTTTTGCGGATTAAGTGCACCAAAAAAATATGTAAGTGTGTATGTATGATGTGGATGCACATATGCCTCGACCGTTGGCAAGCAAATGGATAACGGAGAGGCCGAAAACGGCGAGGAATATGGGCAGCAAACAAAACCGAAGCGGATGGA